ATAAAGTTATGAAGATATGAATGGAAAATGTGGTGAAATTAAAAGTAGAATATTGGCTCACAGAAAATACTGGAGTAAAGAGTAAAAGAAGACTACAGTTTTGAAAAAGGAACATGAAAAGGTGCCAATGACTCTTTTATTTTATTTTATTTATTTTGTAAAATTACTTGTAATAAGTCACTACCCACCCTGCAGCAGGCGTCCTCACTGCTGTCTTCAGGTACAAAAAGAACAGCACAAAATAAACATAATATTGAGGCACTTTGCTGCACCTGCTTCGAGCAAACTTTTTTTTTTCTCCCTTAACCTTTCAGCACCACATTTGCCTTCTGACGCATGTTTTCTACAGGCTACATGATTTTTAACCGCGTTTCAACCGTTTAATCATGTCTGATGCGGAGTGTGTGATTGATTAACTCACTGAAACCGCCTGGCTATGAGCCAAAATTGCCCAAAAAAGTGAGGGGGACAAAACATTGATTTCAAAATGTGTGGGGGGGGACATTTCCCCCCACTTATAATGGCTCCTACGCGTATGCATCACAGTGAACCTGTTTGTTCACTTAACGGGCCATCGTGTGTTTGTCCAGGTCGGCTCTCTATTCAAATGGGGATCAGCTGCTTGAAAAGGCGACTGATGCGCATTTTCACCTCTCTTCAGGTGATCAGCTTGAATAGGAGGCAGAGAGCTGAACATGTGGACATCAGCTGGCTATTCAGCTGCATTAATGAGCAGCCCAAACAGATGCAAACACAAAGCCACTGAAGGAAAACTGTGTGTTGTGAATGTAGCCTGCAAACCTCTTTAGTTTCCGTTAATACAGAAGAAATTAGAAATATAACAACATGTTGATGTGATGCTCACTTAATAAATAAATACTGGTAGTTGGGAATAATATTTGGGGAGGATCCCTTCTCTGTAGCAGCGGCGGGTATTAAAAGCACAGAGTACAAACATAAAACAAAGCAACACAAACCTGAGAGGCCTGTAAATGTTTCCTTTTCTCCTCCTGTGAGTCAAAAGATCAGACTTCAGATTGAAAACGATCATCTGTTGAACAAAGACAAGCTCCTGTGCTGCCACCTGCTGGCTGTCTGACTGCACTTCCTCAGATAACATTAACATAACAACTACATTTACTCCACTGCTGAACTGAAGTACAACACTCAGGTACTTGTACTTTTATGCTACTTTCTACTTCTACTCCACATTTTAGAGGTATATATTGTACTTTTACTTCACTAAATTTACCTGACAGCTTTAGTTACTAGTTACTTTTCAAAATAAGATTTCATACACACAAAGAGTTTATGAAATATGATGTTTATTATGTTTATCCTCCACACCAGAATAATGTTGAGGTTTGGACTGATGCGAAGGTGTCACTTTGGGCTCTGGGTAACTGTGACAGCATTTCTCATTATTTACAGAATCTTTATAAACCAAACAATCAATCGATTAATGTAGAAAATAATCAGCAGATTGATCCATAATGAAAAGAATCATCAGAATCAGAAGGAGCTTTATTACCAAGTAGAGTTTGCTGCACGCTAAACAAACATACAGTTGACAGTTGGCAGAAACCTTTAACATAACGACCCCATACAAATCAGTCTCTCCCGACTTTTTAAATAATATCATATCCATTACAGCAGCAAACAGTAGGCTAGGTTTTTACAAAACATTTAGGCCTAAAATATCTCAATACCACTTGCTGAGATAAAAAAAAAAAAGCAAGTAGGCTTAATCTTTACTTTTGAACTAGGCTACTGTTTTTCTGCACATGTATTTAGGCTATAAGAGCAATATTCAGTAATTTTACTCTCTCCCCATGAGTCCAAGCATCACTGGCAGTAGCGGAGTTTATTTCTATAAGTTTCAGTTGTTGCGCTGCTTCAGCAGATGCTTCAATAAATTCTATCTAGAATTGTTCACAGTTTTTGGCCAACAGCAGACTTGAACAACATAAGGTCCGGTGCCCTGACCTGCAGCACATCTTTCAGTAGCGCAGTCACGCAGCATTTTAATAGAATATAAATAGAAACAGTTATGGAAATATACGTTTTGTAATTGTATCAGTTTGTTTTAGCATATATTCAATATTTAATTTCAGTAAATGTCCACAGTAGCAGCGGGTATCCGAGGTGTTTACGTTACCAGGGTAACACACGGCGGAACTGACGTGTTTTTTGATGATGTTGCAGGATGTTTGAATGGAAGGATTTTGTTGAACACAACGTAACTGCTGTGGAGCTGAATCCTTTTAACAACTTGGTGGCTTCATCCAAATTATTATTCAATTGGTTGAATTTTAATAAGAGTGTGTTTATTCATCTAGTGTGTCAAGCTTATTACTTCAATAGATTCCCCGCAAATCTAATGTTAATATATAGATGTTACTCATAGATAGGGACATTAGGCTACTGTATGAATGAGCACTTTGGAGATATAATGATAATAATTATAATTATATACATATAAATGGCTGGTCTGGTTGTAAACTCAGGAAAGATTGTGAAAATGGACAGATTTAGCAGGAGTAGTGGCGATTAAACATTGAAAACACATTTCTGTGGTTTTTACATGCAGAGAAAGATCAAGAAGTTAATTTGTGCATTATACTTAGCCTTCTGTGTTTGAGAGCTGTTCTGTTTTTTTAATTGCCCACTAGAAGGCTGCAGCACCGCAATAACCAGCCTAGTTCAAATTAACGAAATGACAAAAAAAAAAAAAAAAAAGATTAGTTCATTTTAATGTACGAGATTTTATGACTCGAGTCTGCAAAAATAGTGACTTTTACCATCACTAGTAGATAGAGAAAATCTGAAGTGGGTCGGACTAATTCTCTAGGAGTTCGTTAAAGTGTGATGACATGGATAAATGTTGGCATGTACATGTGTTCAGGGCGGGACTCTTATCAAACGTAAAATTTGGTACAGATCAGAGCATCTGCAGTCAAGTTACAACAACTTCCTGTGTCATTGCGAGTTTAACTTTGCCACCACGCCACCGCCCCGCCGTTAACTGCAAACTCACAAGTTTTACAACATGGCTTCATCAATGCGTTATGGGTTTTCTGGGACAGTTGTGAAGTTGATATGTTCAACCTGCTAGGAGTAGTACATTACAGCATAACACGTGTCATTTCCGGTGCTGTGACTTTGAGGGATTATTGGCGTGGGGCTGTGTTCAGGGCGAAACTCTTATAGTACATTCCAAATCTGGTGCAGATGTGAGCATGTAAACTGAAGTTACAACAACTTCCTGTTTTATGGTGAATCATTGATTTTGGATGGCACGCCACTGGCATGCCGTTCCACAAAAACTCACCGTTTGTACAACATCTAATCGTCAATGGGTTTAGGCCGCACAGCAAAAATCTGAAGTCAGTCAGGCTAAATCCCTAGGTGGAGTTTGTTAAAGTACGGAGTGTGTAAATCATCCAAAAATGACTATAAAATTCAAAATGGCCAACTTTCTCGTGGGTTTAGGGCATCACTCCAAGAGGCTTTTTGGTACGTCTGGACATGATAGACGGGCCACAGAAATTTTATACATGTACAGTGAGGAAAATAAGTATTTGAACACCCTGCTATTTTGCAAGTTCTCCCACTTAGAAATCATGGAGGGGTCTGAAATTGTCATCGTAGGTGCATGTCCACTGTGAGAGACAATCTAAAAAAAAAAATCCAGAATGCACAATGTATGATTTTTTAACTATTTATTTGTATGATACAGCTGCAAATAAGTATTTGAACACCTGTCTATCAGCTAGAATTCTGACTCTCAAAGACCTGTTAGTCTGCCTTCAAAATGTCCACCTCCACTCCATTTATTATCCTAAATTAGATGCACCTGTTTGAGGTCGTTAGCTGCATAAAGACACCTGTCCACCCCATACAATCAGTAAGAATCCAACTACTAACATGGCCAAGACCAAAGAGCTGTCCAAAGACACTAGAGACAAAATTGTACACCTCCACAAGGCTGGAAAGGGCTACGGGGAAATTGCCAAGCAGCTTGGTGAAAAAAGGTCCACTGTTGGAGCAATCATTAGAAAATGGAAGAAGCTAAACATGACTGTCAATCTCCCTCGGACTGGGGCTCCATGCAAGATCTCACCTCGTGGGGTCTCAGTGATCCTAAGAAAGGTGAGAAATCAGCCCAGAACTACACGGGAGGAGCTGGTCAATGACCTGAAGAAGAATGATGAGTACCATCCCAAGAACACCATCCCTACTGTGAAGCATGGGGGTGGTAGCATCATGCTTTGGGGGTGTTTTTCTGCACATGGGACAGGGCGACTGCACTGTATTAAGGAGAGGATGACTGGGGCCATGTATTGCCAGATTTTGGGGAACAACCTCCTTCCCTCAGTTAGAGCATTGAAGATGGGTCGAGGCCGGGTCTTCCAACATGACAATGACCCGAAGCACACAGCCAGGATAACCAAGGAGTGGCTCTGTAAGAAGCATATAAAGGTTCTGGCGTGGCCTAGCCAGACTCCAGACCTAAACCCAATAGAGAATCTTTGGAGGGAGCTCAAACTCCGTGTTTCTCAGCGACAGCCCAGAAACCTGACTGATCTAGAGAAGATCTGTGTGGAGGAGTGGGCCAAAATCCCTCCTGCAGTGTGTGCAAACCTGGTGAAAAACTACAGGAAACGTTTGACCTCTGTAATTGCAAACAAAGGCTACTGTACCAAATATTAACATTGATTTTCTCAGGTGTTCAAATACTTATTTGCAGCTGTATCATACAAATAAATCATACATTGTGATTTCTGGATTATTTTTTTTAGATTATGTCTCTCACAGTGGACATGTACCTACGATGACAATTTCAGACCCCTCCATGATTTCTAAGTGGGAGAACTTGCAAAATAGCGGGGTGTTCAAATACTTATTTTCCTCACTGTAAGTGAAACGTGACATGGGGGCTACTTCGTTAAAGATAATTTCCTGTTGCCAGCAGTTGGCTTTTGGGTGAATGTTGGCACGTGGATGTGTTCAGGGCGGGACTTTTATCATACATGCCAAATTTAGTACAGATGTGAGCATGTATACTGAAGTTCTAACAACTTCCTGTTTTGTAGCAAATCAATTTTGGAAAACACGCCACGGGCATGCTCGTGGGCGAAAACTCACCGTTTGAACAACTTTTAATTGTCATTGGGTTTAGAGTGCACGGCGAAAATTTGAAGTCAGTTGGATTCATTTTCTAGGAGGAGTTCGTTAAAGTATGCACCCTGTAAATGGTATAAAATGGGTTAAAATTGTACTTTCAATTAAAAATGGCAGACTTCCTGTTGGCTTTTTTGTGTGTTCTGATATGATACATACCAAGAATTTCGTGCATGTAGGTTGAACGGGGCCGGGGGGCTAATTTTTTTCCAATATTGTAGGTGGCGCTAGCGAGCCATTTCAGGTGTAAAGGCGAAAGACTTGTGAGCCAACAGTCATATTAGAAAGTTAAATAACAAATAAAAGTGGGCTTTTGTTTTCCACAAGTGATGCAGCATTAGAAAACATAATATTTAATAAGAAATTTGAGTTTGAGAAGACGATAAAGAGGTTTTCCACCTTTGTAAATCAGCTTCCACCAATTGCTTTGGTGCTGCTGCACAGACATTAGAATTTGAAGTAGAAGTTAAAGGTTTGTGACTGCAGGATCAAAACAGGACATTTCACTTAAATCATGTTCCTTTCAAACCATAACTTCTCTCTCTTTGATTTCTGATCAACTCAGAAGTGATACTCTGTGGTGACAGTGGTGATGAGGTCATTGTAGCCATAATCCAATCCCTCCTCAGCCTGGGTGGGTGGGGTCATCACCAAATGTAAAAAGGTAACTGGTCTGTGCTTAAATCAATTGCAACAGAACAACAAATATTGTTGAATGGAAACAGTTCATTGAACGTCCAGTTTAAAATTATGAGTCAAAGTTTCTCTTTGTGTCGACTAATTTAATGAGAACATTGAAAAGGACTCGAGTCTCCTGCTCAGATTATTACAGCACCAACCCTGGCAGGATGCAAGTTAAACAGAAAGCAACACATTTATTGACAGAACAGAAAGCAAACAGCTGTTAAAATGGAGTCAGATAATGAAGACACAATAATATTTGATTCAATAAGACTTTCACAAGAACAAAGGTTTGTTCAGACTGAACACAAATGTCATCTGTAGTGATGATTTGTAGTCCCTGTTTATTCAGCGCCTCTTCCTCCTCACTACACACTGGATCAAACACAGCAGTTAAACCCAGAGGCATCCAGTGGACCTGGTTCAGGCCTCTTAAACATTTGGACTTTATGATTTTTGCCCTTCAAGTGTTGACACTTGGAGCAGGTAAATACAGACGTCAAATGATCTAGATTGTTTGAAGCATACAGAGTCCTTCAGATGTTGATCTCCGAATTCAGCAGAAACTTCTTTAAACTCTTTCCTCCAGTTTGTTTTTCTTGTCTCTCTGTTCATTAGTCAAAGATAAAGCAGAATTTTTCATTTGACCTAAAACATTTCAGACTTGAGCTGACACGTCTTCACCTCAGCTGGGGCCGTCTTTAACAAATCTGCGGCTCTTTGCCTCGACTAGAATTGGCTTTGCTATCAGTCTGAACAAACCTCAACAGATTCAAAATACATTCAGCAACAGGAAATAACAACAGAATACATAATACATAAATTCATAACTACTCTGATCCATTGGCTGAAGAAGGCTGTTGGGATACTGTAGAAAACAAAGCTAAGACAACTGATTTATTAGTTAACTGAAACAAAAAAAATACAAACATTTATTTTGATTATCCATCTATCAAACAAGTTACTTTTAAAGCAAAACCTGAAACAATGCTATGGTTCCAGCTTCTCAGGTATGAAGATTTTCTTTTTCTTTATCTAATGTGAAAATAAACTGACTTTTAAAATTTTGGTCAGACAAAACAAACATCACCTTGGACTTTTGTCCACACTGATGGGCATGTTTACAACATTTGATTTATAAAGTTTTGGTGGAATAAAAATAGACATGGTGCTTAGAGGATCACAGTTCTCAGTAAAAAATCTTGTTAGATTGGAGGCACTGCTACTGCTTTAGAATGGTTTTCTAAGGGTCTGTGTCTGTAAATAACTCTCTTTTTTTCTGTCCAGTTAAATATGGAGTGCCTCAGGGGTCAGTCTTAGGACCCATTTAATTTCCTTGTAAATGCTTCCTTTTGGACACATTATGCAGAAACAAGGTGTCTCTTTTCATGTTTATGCTGATGACACAGATCTAATCTTTGCACATCCCCTTGTAAATGGTTTTGAAATATGCACTATAGATAAAGAGAATATTATTATTTCTGACATTCTTTCACTGTCCAAATGTTTTTGAAATTTTTTTAGTCCCAAGGCTGGCAGCAAACAGTAAATTTAACAGTAATCGCATTTCAAATTCCCCAGTTGCGTAAGGGCCTATATAACTTGTTTGCAAAAGTTGTGTTGTTTAAAATACCTGTAGCACAGCAGTGCATACAAGGGCTGCAAAACTTTGAGAAAAAGTCATATTGTGCTTATTGTGGACAATACTGCGATTCGATTACAGTGAAGAAATGGTACTTGCTTAATTATCAAGGAATGCGAGAAATATTGACATTTTGAAATGGATATTTCTTAACTTGAACAAAGTTAAACAATATTTATAACTAACTAGTAAAACAGATGTAAAACCGAAAAAGGGGAGGGTGTTGCTCTACAGAGGATAATGTTTAGTTAATTGTATAGTTAGTACACAACAATAATATATCAAATACATCATTTCATATAATAGTAAACCTTTTTTTACAACTAGTTGAATATTAAATTCAGTTACAGCTATTTTATTTCTCTTTTTATTCAATAAATCCTTGTGCTAGCAAAAGGCTCTACATTAGTCTCTAATTTGTTCATTCTAAGAACTAACTTGTCAATAATCATATTGTTCAAAATGTAATGATTTGCTGTAGCAGGTCAAACTTTTAATATCCTGCCCCATACAGGCTGTGATTGGTCAGTTGACGATAAATGACTGACAAGCACATTGGCTCTGCGGAAAGTTGAACATGTTGAACAACTAAACCACTACAGCTAACATTAAATAGGAAGCAACCAAACTCAAACCTTCCTTATCTTCTCCCTGTTTTCCTCTGTCTTACCACTTCAGCCGCTGACGATGTCCGTTTGTCTCAGAGATGACGAGTCCAACTATGTTTTGAACGATTAGCGGTTGGTGTGGAGGGAGGTTACGGTAGGTTGTTGTCTAAAATGTTACTCGCACACTGCTCATAAATCATTTTTCTCATTGCACGTAGGCTTATCTGTTTTTAGGGGCACATGCGCAAGCCCGGTGTGGGTGACAAAAATGTTTAGACTACAGTGCACGCACACAGCATCATTTTTGCGGTCATGTAATTGCACATGACATCATCACAATTGCGATTAGATTAATTGTGCAGCTCTAGTGTACACCTGGTTAATTTACTGTGTAGTCCACCTTAATTAAATACAGTTCAGTTTGCTAGGTACATACAACATTTATGACAGGTTCATGAAAGTGTTGGTCTGTTAGTCGGCTTGACAATCACATTATCAGAAAAAAAGATGTGAAACAAACAGATGTGAAAGTTTCTTTGGGGACAACTTAAAGTTGGAAAAAACGTAATAAATTGCAATATTGTAGAATATGATATGTTTAAAATCGTAACAATATCATATTGTGACTTAAGTATCATGATAATATTGTATTGTGTGGTGCTTCCCACCCCTAGTGGTCCAATTGTGCCAACGACAGGATTTTGGGGAGAGGAAGGGCAGGTCAGACTGTAGATGCAGTCATAACATACATGCTGTATAAAGTTACTGTTGTCTATCCCTCAGCTTGAAGAGAAGCTCAGACTAGAACAACACAGCCATCAGGGCATGATGAGGAGGCAGCAGGAAGCAGCTAGCTTGGCTCGGAATAATGTTCAAAACGAAGCAGCGTGATTGTGTCAATGGGTTTTAAAGTGACTAAGATGAGCAAAAGCTTTTCCACATTGGTCACACCAGTACGGTTTGTGTCCAGTGTGAACACGTCTGTGTCTTAGTAGGTAACCTGATGTAGTAAAAGCTTTCCCACACTTGTCACAGCTGTACGGTTTTTCTCCATTGTGAACATGACTGTGCTCATTTAGGCCTCTTGACAGAGTGAAAGCTTTACCACATTGGTCACACCTGTATGGTTTCTCTCCAGTGTGAAGACGTCTGTGTCCTACTAAGTGACTTGATGTAATGAAAGCTTTCCCACAGTGGTCACAGCTGTACGGTTTCTCTCCAGTGTGAACACGTTGGTGGACTTTTAGAATTTCTGATCTAGAGAAAGCTTTCCCACATTGGTCACACCAGTACGGTTTCTCTCCAGTGTGAACACGTTGGTGGACTTTTAGTTCACTTGATGTAATGAAAGCTTTCCCACATTGGTCACAGCTGTACTGTTTCTCTCCAGTGTGAACACGTTGGTGAACTTTTAGAACATCTGATCTAGTGAAAGCTTTCCCACATTGGTCACAGCCATACGGTTTCTCTCCAGTGTGAACACGTTGGTGTATTTTTAGGTCACCTGATGTCCTGAAAGCTTTTGTACATTGGTAACAGCTGTACGGTTTCTGTCCAGTGTGAACACGTCTGTGTCCTACTAGGTGACCTAATGTAATGAAAGCTTTCCCACACTGGTCACAGCTGTACGGTTTCTCTCCAGTGTGAACACGTCGGTGGACTTTTAGAACATCTGATCTAGTGAAAGCTTTCCCACATTGGTCACAGCTGTACGGTTTCTCTCCAGTGTGAACACGTGTGTGCTTTTTTAGTTCACTTACTGTAGTGTAAGCTTTCCCACACTGTTCACAGCTGTATGGTTTTTCTCCAGTGTGAAAACGTTGGTGTATTTTTAGGTCACCTGATGCAGTGAAAGTTTTTCCACACAGGTCACATCTGTACGGTTTCTCTCCAGTGTGAAGCCTCTGATGAATCTTTAAATATCCAGATCTTGTGAAGGATTTGTCACAATGGTGACAGTGGTGACGTTTGAGTCCCTCTCTTCCTCTCCGTTTCTATATCAAAAGACGTACAGAGAGAGACAGTAAGCAAGATGGTATGGTGTAGTGAGCTATCTAAAACAATAAATGTAGCCGACACCATTGACAATACTGTAAACCTGTTCCCATGATAATGTGCAACTGTTTCCATGATAACAATGTGTTTTTTTTTTACAAATGACAAAGTCGTTTTCATATGCAAATGTTTTATGCAATTATAATACATCTCGTCTGCAGGGGAACTCCAGTGTCGGAGAATTACTGAGCTTATCTATTAAACACGGGAGGCGTCACTTGGTTTTATTTTCGTTGGCTAACTTTTGAACTGAACCTCAAACTGATATTTTTGGAGGTCTTTGAAAGATGCTCATTAATTGGTGGTTGAACTGTGGGTTTTGTATTGAGCGCTTACTATATAACACACTGTGGTGACCTTAGTTTTGTCTTCTTGTTTGTAGGTAGGCCGACCTGATGATATTATATCATATTATTTAATGCCATGACTTGACTCTCAAATTATCTCTCTCATATTCAATTTATAATTTGATATCGCTTTTCCACCATTGCTCATAATAATTCATGCATCACCTAATTTCATCATAACACAGGCCTGACCTCCAAGAAAGAACAGTATGTTTAATCTAATATTGTGTTGGTCATACTAATGACTGATTTACTGCTCGTCTGTTTTGAATAATACAGAAGCAAAAGAGCTTAAAAATCACAATCGCAATATTCGTAAAAAAAAACTAATTTTGCTCACATTGCTCATGATGTGCTTACTAATACAAAAATACCATAACAATAATACCACAATAATAAATCAGATACAAACTACAGAACAGACAACACTAATATACACATTATGAACAATGTAGACATTGACAAACAGTGCAGTGATCATAGTGCAACGGATGCAATAGTAAACTATTTATATTCTCATTACATGTTGAAGGTGGATATGATATACAGGTACACATACATGTATACATGTACACAGTGTGATGGAGCATAGTGCAAAGGATGCTGGAAAAAATAAATAAGACCTATGACCTTATGACCTGAGGTAGGTGTATTGGTATACAGTATATACATTATGACATAGAATGGTGAATAAATAAATAAATAAATAAGTGGAAACCAGTAAACAGGTGGCTGATTAGAGGCAGAGTTACTGGGTTATTGCACAAGAATAGTTCCCAACACTGAGTCAGAAATCAGCTGTTCATCAGAGTGATGGCTTGTGGGAAGAAACTGTTCCTGTGTCGGTTGGTTTTGGCGTACAGTGCTCTGTAGCGCCTACCAGAGGGGAGGAGCTGGAACAGGTTGTGTTCGGGGTGAGATGGATCTGCAGTGATGTTTCCTGCCTGTTTCCTGACTCTGGAAATGTATAAGTCCTGAATGGAGGGCAGGTTTGCACCGATTATTTTTTTCTGCAGTCCTGACTGTCCGTAGTAGTCTGCTCTTGTCCTTTTTGGTGGCAGATCCAAACCAGACAGTGATGGAGGTGCAGAGAACAGACTGGATGATGACTGTGTAGAACTGGATCAGCAGCTCCTTAGGCAGGTTGAGCTTCCTGAGCTGACGGAGGATGATGGTGTGAGTGTTGGGCTCCCACTTCAGGTCCTGGGATGTAGTGGAACCCAAAAACCTGAAGGATTCCACAGCAGACACATAACTGTTGAGTATGGTGATTGAGGGCAGAGTGGAGGGGCTCCTCCTGGCTCCTCCTGAAGTCCACAATCATCTCCACAGTTTTGAGCGCGTTAAGCTCCAGGTTGTTCTGACTGCACCAGAGAGCCAGCTGATCAACCTCCCGTCTGAGTATGTCCGGGATGATGGTGTTGAACACCGAGCTGAAGTCCACGATCAGGCTCCTTGCATATGTCCCTGGAGAGTCGAGGTGTTGCAGGGTGTAATGCAGACCCAAGTTGACAGGATCATCCAAAGACCTGTTAGCCCTGTAGGCAAACTGCAGGGGGTCAAGCAGATTTTCAGGCACGATGGTGAGACACCGTCAGGTCCAGGAGCCTTCCTGATCTTCTGCCTTTGGAAGAGGTGGCTCACGTCCTCTTCACAGATCTTTAGTGCAGGTCAGAGGGGGAAGGTGACTGTTGAGTTTGTTGAGTACCAGCAGTGTTGGGGGATGGTGTCTTATAGTTTGAGAGTGTCCGCAGGCCTCTCCACACTGACGCAGGGTCGTTGGCTGCAAAGCTGTTATTTAGCTTTTTAGCAGAGCACCTCTTTGCAGCTTTGACCTCTTTAGTCAGCATGTTCCTGGCCTGGTTGTACAAGAGTCTTTCCCCACTTCTGAAGGCCTCCTCCTTGGTCTGACGAAGCTGCCTGAGTTCCGCTGTGAACCAGGATTTTTGGTTGTTGTATGTGCGGAAGGTTTTAGTCGGCACACACGTCCTCACAAAAACTGATGCAAGATGTCACAGTGTCAGTTAGTTCATCCAGGTCAGTGGCTGAAGCCTCAAAAACACTCTAGTCAGTGCAGTAAAAGCAGGCCTGTAACTCCAGCTTTGAGTCATTGGTCCATCTTTTCAGTCTTTACAACAGGTTTAGCAGATTTCAGTTTTTGCCTGTGTGTCGGGATAAGATGAACCAGACAGTGATCAGAGAGTCCCAAGGCTGCACGGGGAACAGAGCGATAGGCGTCCTATAATGTAGTGTAGCAGTGGTCCAGTGTGTTAGTGTCCCTGGTGGGGCACTTAATATGCTGTCTGTATTTTGGAAGTTCATGGCTGAGATTTGTTTTGTTAAAGTCCCCAAGAACAATGAGCAGGGAGTCTGGGTGTTTTTTCTCCACGTTAGTTATCTGGTCGGCCAGGTGTAGTAACGCCTCACTAACACAGGCGTAAGGTGGAATCTGTAGACTATATAAGAAATGGACGTAGTCATCGTGATGTCACCCGTTGGTTTGTGGACTGCCATTTTGAAGCCTCGAGTTGGGGCCGATAGAGCGCCGCCATGTCGAGTTTTTGCAACCAGGAAGTGACAATACACCGGCACTAACAGCCTTGTGCAGAGCCAGCTAGCTTGGCTAGGTGCAACTGTAACTCACTGGGCTAATAAGTTTGTCTAGAGAACAATAGTCTTAAAACTAAATTTACTCACCTGAGAAAGTGAACAGCTGACTCGTAATAAGTGACGTGGGTACGAGTCGGCTCTAGCCTGACTGACAGGTCGCTATGGTAACGACTTGTCAATTATAGATAATCCAGCCCTGAAACATACTCTGCTTTGTGGTCTATTTTAAAATAAATGGGACCATAATTTACTAAATGAACATCATTTTGTATTGAAGAAGACTTGAAACTAGCGACTGAGACCATGAACTCATCAGGAAAGTGTTTACTGGGGTAATTATTCAGCTGAGAAGTAGGGTCATTTTCCCATAATTTCTAATAGAGCTGGACTTCTTTTTGCAACCAGAAGAGTCACCCCCTTCTGGATTTTCAATAGAATGCAGGTTTCAGGGACTTCCGCATTCGCTTCATATTGTAGACCGGAAGCTTCCCGCTTGGGTGGAATGTAAACAGCGACCAGAACAAACGAGGAAAACTCCCGCGGTGAATAAAACGGTTTACAGTTTATAAATAATGTCTCTAGGTGAGGCCTGCAGGATTTCTTTAACACGGGCAGCAGATCTGCAGAAGTCCGAGTTAGTTCTGTTGAGGAGCACCAGTTTGTCCGTTTTGTTGGCTAAGTGGATTGAAGGGAGCCGTCTCAGCTTAACCAGCGCGCCTGCATGTTTTCTCCTGCACCGTTTCCGAAGGATCCCAAACAGAGCTGCCGCTACTCCAACGGGTAAGTTCCAGGGTCAATAAAGAGCGGTGGAATAGTATGAGCAGTTGAAAGTCCAATGTTTAAGAGCTCTTCTCTGGTAAAAGTTACCAGAGAGGGACGGCAGAAAACAGCGTTAATTAACAAAAACACAAAAAGCACTACGGAGCATAATCCCGAAGTGGCCGTCTGCAGCGCCATCTTGGTTCTAATTACATTATTGTTCAAAATCGTTAAGCCTTCTTTATATAAGTCACTTCCTTGTTTTGCAAATCCAGTGCGTAACAGGCCAATAAAAATCACTGTTGTCAGGCGGACTGTTTTAATGCTTTTATAATGGCAAAGAGGAATTTGCACAGCAGAAGGATTTATGTACAATCTATGTGAAGCAAATTTTTTTTTTTTAATTTAATGTTTATTTATATACATATACACACACACACACACACACACACACAAAAAAATTTATTTCAGTAATTCCATTCAAAAAGTGAAACTTGATTATATTCATTCATTACACACAGACTGATATATTTCAAATGTTTATTTCATTTAATTGTGATGATTATAACTGACAACTAAAAAAAGGATTTTTAGAAATTTTGTTATGAACATGAAAAGTATGAGCATGTTCAGCACTCAATACTTAGTTGGGGCTCCTTTTGCCTGACTTACTGCAGCAATGCGGCGTGGCATGGAGTCGATCAGTCTGTGGCACTGCTCAGGTGTTATGAGAGCCCAGGTTGCTCTGATAGCGGCCTTCAGATCTTCTGCATTGTTGGGTTTGGCGTATTGCATCTTCCTCTTCACAATACCCCATAGATTTTCTATAGGGTTAAGGTCAGGCGAGTTTGCTGGCCAGGTTAAGAACAGGGATACCGTGGTCCTTAAACCAGGTACTGGTAGCTTTGGCACTGTGTGCAGGTGCCAAGTCCTGTTGGAAAATGAAATCTGCATCTTCATAAAGTTGGTCAGCAGCAGGAAGCATGAAGTGCTCTAAAACTTCCTGGTAGACGAATGCGTTGACCTTGGACCTCAGAAAATACAGTGGACCAACACCAGCAGATGACATGGCACCCCAAACCATCACTGACTGTGGAAACTTTACACTGGATTTCAAGCAACGTGGATTCTGTGCCTCTCCTCTCTTCCTCCAGACTCTGGGACCTTGATTTCCAAAGGAAATGTAAAGTTTACTTTCATCAGAGAACATAACTTTGGACCAC